TTACTCACAGTATATTGGAATAATCGATCCAGCCAAATCTACTCCACCATATGAGGAATATGTTTATTGTTCCCCTAATAGATGGATAGAAGCTAAGAAACATCAGTTAAGACGACGGTTAAATAAGGTGGTATACAGATCTAATCCTGATTTCTCAGGAAGGTTTTTGATTGAATTATTAAGTAGTATTAGCTATTATGAAAAGTACACAAAAAATCGATTTTGTTATTTACTTTCCTATAACTAAATATAAGAGTATTCTAGGCTGGTCTTAAAAGGACCGCTTCTGCGTGAAAAATGCAAAGAAATAGACTTTGATTGAATATTATATTTATCTCAACTATATTTAGCCAAATACACTATACATAACTTATTCATGATATAATTTATTTTTTTTGTGAAACATAATCTGCATGATCGCCTAGTATAATTGTGAAATGTACCACCTGCGGGATAAAAAATCTGTTTTCCTATTCTGGGATAATAATTCTGAATTACCACGTTTTCAATTCTCGTTAAAATATATATGATATAATGTTAAGATCTTCAATACACATTCCGCTTGCCCTTATTCTCAAAAAATTGGTGTAAAATACCTCTCCTATCTCTTTTCCACAACATGAGAAGAATAAAAAATGGTTGCATTTAAAAGGGTAGTATGGAAAATTTATGTTCAGGTTACTTATTCTATATTAATATCACAAAACTATGTCTTCTGAACTATACTCAAAAATTTACAATTTTTTAGTAACTGCTAAGCAAGAACATATACCTGCCACCTTGGTCATTTATCAGGGAATAGAAGAAGATCTCTAGATTTTACAAAATGATTTAAAAAGGGTTGTAGATCAAGCTATAGGGTTTGCTAGTAATCTATATGTCAAAGAACCTTTGCGCTAATTAAAACTTCTCTAAATACTTCCTCAGGTTAATTATAAAGCTTTATTAATATTTCTTTTCCACTAGATGATGATATTATGTGATCCACTTGCAGGAACGAGATCTAAAATGATAGTATATTCATCCTATTAGCCTGCAACAAAAGGAACTATTCCTTGAACTGTATGGAGAACGTTTAAACTATCGCTTATATTTTAATCATTCCATTAGCTCTGCCCTAAGAATTTTTCTCGATGCATGAGGGGATGGTTAATTTATATTATGTAGTTATTTTAGTATTACACAAGGTTTCATCAGCGTGATGGCCACACTAAGATGATAACTTTGCATATATACTGATAGCGCATGCGTTTTAATAATGAAATTGGTATATTGTTAAAACTAACGCATTATCTAATTATATTAGTTTGAGATAGCTTTTGAAGGAGTCTGTAGTTTGCGTGATATAGGAGTGATTAAAACAAATAAGGAAAGACCTCTTAACTCTGACGAGATTAAAAAAAATATAAATGAGCTGAAGGCCAAACTCAAGAAAAATACAACGACGCTGATTAACCAGTATCTATACTTCAGTATAGATAATATGAATATTTCTGAATTATCATGGATGGACCCTCTAGCCAGTCAAGTAATTTCTGATAAGTCAGAAATTGTAAAGAAGTTGTCGGATCAATTTAAGCATACTTTTATATAGCCAGTACGACAAATGGTACCTTTATCTCTTCCGTCTGCAGTAAAAAGAAAATGTAATGAATTCGTTGTTACTTTCATTGAGAATCGTGAAATTGATTTCCAAGAAAACTTATATATAATGGAACATGGAAAGAAACAGAAAACGAGCTTTCAATAATTGCGAAGAGAATTTTGGATTCATTGTAAGTATTTTTTTTAATAATATTTTGTGATTTTCCAATCTCTGCTTATGTCTTGCCATTAATACTAGAAGCGATTCTTAGAATAATCCTGCATTTAGAGTGAATTCTGTGGAATCCCTAAATGAAGGTACTTACGTGACTAATGTGATAGTACCAGCGATTCAGGCAACATTGAAGAATCTTCCTCTAGGAAAATCCACATTCATTAGTAGCTCTAAACGTCAAAGTAGTGCTAGTGCAGATAGAAAAGACGATGGGTGATCTGGGAGATGGCCAGATGTTATAATCGTAATGAAACACAATGAGAAAAATTATGAACTTTTATTTACTAAATGCTCACACTTATTATGTACAGCACAAAAGGAGAAAGATGATCAAGTGAAGCTGTAACGCGAGGTCAATGATGGAATATACTGGACTCGTAAATGTTACAAATCTGATAAGAATGAATTTGGGATTATTGGGATACAGATAGCCAGAAAGAAATTATATTTAAGTATTCTTATAAGGGATATGAGTGAGATCCATTGATATTATCATCTCCATAAATCAGAAATCCCAGTTCAACTTTCAGATCCGTCAATTGTAGAAAAATTCGTAGAATCATTACTGATATTGCGAAATATTCTAATTGTTAATATGAATATACTATACAATGCACCTTTAAAAAGATCAAATCAGAATGTAGAAAAAGCTTTACAGTTTCTTCACCTAAGCGAGATGACTAGAATTTCTTAACATTTTTTATCATGTATCCCTCCTTCGATCAAAGATCCCTTTTTCTCATATTCATTCGAAAAAAGATTCACATGATTTTGGGTGAACATTGTTTACTGAAATTTGCCAAGAAAAGGGAAAGGCTATCTCTCGCAGATCGATAGATCAAGAGAGAGTAGTAAATCAAAAATTATTGATGGAAACGTGCAATCTATCAAGAATGTGATATAGCCATCACATGTATAATTTATAAGATATTATATGATTCCTATTCTGGAGATAGTGAGCATAGTTCTGGTGAAATGGCAGTAATGGTTTCAACCTCCAAAAAATTCATAGAATAGTGATTCAATACATATATTTTTAATAAGTTATATTATTAATAAAGCAAGTGCATTGGTTAAAAAAATTCTTGACAAATTTGCGATCTCGTCTCTATATGTAAAACAAAATAATTTTCTAAGAATATTCTAAGTATTTTTTCCCAGAATCTAGGTCTCAGCAAATTTTTTGGCTATTGTTTAGGCGGAAAGTTTTGCCAGAAACATATGGAATACCCATACTTCTAGGAAAATATGGCATGCCTGGAATATTTTTTTTCAGGAATATTCTAAGACTATATCACTTACCTTTAATCAAACGCATGTCTAGCCAATCACATTTCAACGAATACTATAAGAGTTTGCTTGACCAATTACCTCCATCCATGAAAAAAGATGCATGGTTACGCCTAACAACCCGCAAAAATAATCCCCTATCTGAAGAACAGGCTAGAGGTATTCGTTCAGATATTGAGAAATTGCTTACTAGAGAGGTTGATAGATACTTCAATAAAAAAAAATCGTCAGAAGATTAAGATTGAAGCAAATACCACCTCGGATGGTTCTAGTACATTCTTCTGACTAGATGGGTTCGAGAAACAGTTAGAGGAACGTGAGCTTCATGTACAGCAATGAGAGAATAATATTAAGAAAACTATTGAAGCTCAGGTTGCTGAAGAATGCAAATGTCTAAAAGATGAATATAATGCTCTTATGGCTCGCAAAGAGAGTGAATATAATAATTGCATAGTAGATATGAAACAAAAGACATATTCATTTAAACATTAATTGGAATTCCAATATAATTCACGCTCAGCTGAGCTAGAGAATCAATATAAATCTCATATCTCTACTTTAGATAAATCTATAACCGTAAAAGATAAGGAGATTGGCAAGTTATCCGCTACTATCTCCCAACTAAAAAATGATAAGAAGGATATAAAAAAATCGGCTGAGTGAAAGTGTAAGGAATTAGAAGATGTTATTTTTGCCAAAGACCTAAAGATTATTGCTCTTAATGATAAGATTATTTCTTATAACCCTCATATTGGAAGAGATACGACAATAGAACCAAGTTCATACTTTTCCCACTATGATACTAAATTATGGACTGGAAAGCGAGAAGATGCAAAGAATAACCTAAATATTCGAAAAAAATATACTTTCAGGATGCGTGTCTAAGATGATTAGTCTAGTTTAATCTTAGACCTATCATTGACTAGTTGTAGATTTATTGCAGACTCTACACTATCTGGTTGTAAACTCATTGTAGACTTGACATTGACTCATTGTAGACTCATTGTAGACTCAATATTATCTAACGTAGACTCTTCATTAATCTGATTTTGATTTGATGTAGACTTGCCATTAGTTCATATTTAGTTAATTTATGACATAAAAATAAATAAGGATATCTGAATTCCTTTCTACAGTATTGACATGTACGGTCAGTTAGTTTTTTTTTGTCTCTATAGGAAACCATTCTTTTGGCTCCTTTCCTACAGTAAAAATATTGCGCTGGGATTTGTGAACGGATAAGGGGATGGTAATAGTTTTTCCATTTTGAGTTGCCTTTAATTCCCCCTTCACTAAGGGTTCCCATCCTGCACGATACTGCCATTGTGTTCTAAGAATAAATAGGGATAGTTCTTTTTCATTATCATCATATTCTGTAGGGACGACAGAGAATTCATCTAAAATAGTGTCACTATTTTCTCCATCCTCAATAGTTACAGGAACACTATCAACCATACTAAGGGAATGGGACTTACTTGCGACTCCATTAAGTCTGTGAATCTTTTTCTTATCTATTTTGAGTCCTAAATGCTTTGCGACATTTTCTGAAACTATTAATGAGTCTAATCCACTATTAATTATTGCATAGGAAATAGTTACTTCTCCCACTTTTCAAGAAATGGTCGCAACATTATCAGCATCCTTTATTTGAAGAAAATTTATCTCTAAGGGCTTAGACCAATATATTTGACTATTTTTTTTTTCAGCTGAGTGACATTGCGCATATGCCTTAATAGCATGATTCAAAATATGTCTGCTTTCTGAATAGTTATTATTTGGCAAAGATTCTTTTCCATAATAGTTTGAGAAAGAGATAGAACAGGGTTGTGAGGCACTTCGCATGAGTTTTCCATCACATCTAAAAGGGGCTTCTGCTCAGTATTTACTGCCTGTAATAGTAGTAATAAAACATCTTGAATATAGCTATTAACATTCTCCCATGCTAGCTCCCTTCTTTTAACAGTATCATTTGGTATAATAGTATTCAAGCAATGACCTTTTAATTTAAAATATATCATATTAAGAAATTTCGCAATTTCTACAAGAATCTCTTTAGGACAATGTGGAACTACTGATGATACCATAGATTTTAAGGCTATTTTTTTCATTTGTTCTGTGGCCATTGTTATATTGCCTGATGCCCTCTTTGTTTTAGCATTCTCAGTATGAGATTTGGAAGTAGGGG